TGACAACTAAAGGTATAACGTATATGATTCTCTCTCGAAATATATGTTATTAATTATAACCATTTAATTCCGATTAATATATTTAAATACTTTTTATTAATGAATATTATGTTAAATAAATTATAATCGAATTTTCATCTATATAACCTTGTCTCAAAATAATCATATGTTTTACAAATTCACAAAAAATTTTAGTACAAATACAATATTTTGGACTGTGTTCGAAGTGACGATGCTTGACTAATATAATAAATAAATAAAAATATTGAAATAAATAATTAGCAAACAGAAATAATAAATAAATTAGAACAATAAATTGAACAATAAATTTGAACAATAAATTAGACTTCCAAAATGAAAATCAATTTTTTTATTTACATTTAGAATTATTTTAATATTATTAAAATCGAATTAAAAACAAATTTAGCTTCTTTTACAAAAAGTCCTTTTCTTTAAAATGGATTTGATAATTAAAAGTATCTGTTATATCATGTTCTAGTCTTTTTTTAAAATTGTTATTAGTTTTCTTTAAATGCACTGAATTTCTACGTATTATATTACCATTCTGATTTTCTACAATATAAGATCTAGGACTGATGTGTTTTTTTAAAATCTTTGCAGATTCCCATTTTTTATTTCTTTTGTTATATACGACCGCATTATCACCGACATTTAGATCACGTTTTGTTCTACAATTTTTATCATGATATTGTTTATAAATTTCCTGCCTCTTTTTGATCTGCTGATGAGCCCGTAGCTCAACTTTTGGCTTAAGTAATTCTGAATGTATTGGAAGTTTCGTTCGCGTGCGTCTGCTAAAAAGTATTTGTGCAGGGGATACATCAAGACCTGTTATGGGAGTATTTCGATATTCTAATAATGCTACTGTCAATTCTTTGTTATCATCGATACACTTTTTAAGTAATTTTCTAGCTACCTGTACAGCTCGCTCCGCTTGACCGTTACTTCTCGGGTAGTGTGGAGAACTAGTGGTTACATCGAAATTCCACTGTTGTGCAAACTTGTTCAATTTATAAGAACTAAATGGCTAATTATCGCAAACTACAATTTTTGGTATTCCATGTGTCGCAAATACTGTTTTGAGATTTATAATGACTTCACTAGCAGTTTTGTTCTTTAATTCTAACATTTCTAACCATTTCGAATAATAATCTTGTATTACAAGATAATTCTTTCCCGCAAATTCACAAATATCACATGCGACTCTGTTAAACGGAATATCAGGTATGTCATGCACTATTAAAGGCTCTTTACTATTCAGAGATCTGTACCTTTCACAAATAGTGCATTTCGATATCATATTTTCAATTTCACTCATAAGACCTGGCCAATAGAGTAACTGTCTTGCTCTAGATTTAGTTTTTTGAATTCCTAAATGAGATTCATGTAACAATTTCAACATATTTTGGCGTAATGAATTTGGTACAAATAACTTATAATTAAAAAATATCATATTGTCCTGAATACTTAACTCATTTTGAAATTTATAATAATATCTTAAATTCTCTTCTACTTGAGATTTACTTTTGGGCCAACCCTCTTAACAATAATGCTTTATTTGATTCAAAATTGGATCTGATTCTGTGGCTTTTTGAATTTCTATTTTCTTTCCCTCTGAAATATTTAAACTACTACTTATCAAATGCACTACTTCAGAAATCCAATTATTTTCATCAATCGATTCCTTTAAGTACGATCTCGATAGCAAGTCTGCAATATGCATGAGTTTACCTGGAATATATTTTGCTGTTATTTTGTATTTTAGGAGTTTAATTTTCATTCGCTGAAGACGAGGAGATGGTATATCTCCTATATTCTTTACATTTAGTAAATTTACAAGAGGCTTGTGATCAGTTAATACCATAATTTCACGCCCGTAAATAAATTGGTGAAATTTTTCGGTGAAGAATATAATAGCGAGGAGTTCTTTTTCTATTACTGCATAATTTTTTCAGCTTCACTTAAATTAAACTTCTAGACGCAAAATATACGGGTTTCTCATCTTGAATTAAACAACAACCTAGACCAGATTTTGACGCATCAGACTGGATGAAAACTTGAATATTCGCGTTAAAATTTGCAAGAACAGGTGCATTTTTTAAGGCCGCTTTTATTTATTGCAAGGCTTTAGAATGAGATTCAAACCACTGAAATTCAACACCATCCTTTAGCAACTCTCGGAGTGGAGCTGTTAATTCACTTAAATTCGGTATAAATTTTCTAACACAATTCACTGTTCCTAATATTTTTTGAACTTCTGCCTTTGATTTTGGATTTTCAATAGCATCAATTGCTCTAATTCTCTCCGGATCAATTTGCACACCACCCTTCGAGAAAACATGGCCCAAGTATTTAACTTTTAGAACTTTATATTGAATTTTATTTTGATTAAATTTTACCCCTAATTTTCTAGCCCTTTCAAGTACCCGTTCTAATATCTTACCATGCTCTTCTTCTGTTTCTGCAGAAATACAAATATCATCAAAATATATAATAACACCCTCAATGTCTCCAAAATTTTTTTCATTTACTTCTTGGAAATACTCTGGTGCCATATTAACTCCAAAGGGTAGCCTGTTAAATTTCCAGCTGCCAAAGATAGTGCTAAATGTGCATAGTTCACTCGATTTCTCATCCAATTCAACGTGCCAAAATCCGTCCTTTAAATCTAAAACAGTAAAAATGCTTTTGTTACGAAGTTTTTCACTTATTTCTTCCACAGATGGTATAAGTACATTCGGTTTTCGTTTTATCGCTTTATTTAAATCTTTTGGATCTAGGCAAATTCTCAGTGATCCATCTGATTTTTCTACAATGACCAGATTGCTAACCCAACATTTAGGATTTTTAACTTTAGAAATTATTTTTTTCTTTTCCAACTCTAATAGTTTATTTTTAAGTTTCTCTTTAATTTTAAGTGGTATCCTTCTTGGTGGTTTAGCAACTGGTGTAAAACTTGAGTCTACTTCTATTGTACATTTTTCTTCAAACCTGCCTAATCCTTCAAATACATCTTTATTTTTTTTATGAATTCCTCTTTTCCCGAGACCTTGTCTACTAAATCAACTTTTTTGATTAAGTTCAATTTAACACAAGCTTTCAATCCCAAAATTGGCGTTACATTTTTATCAAATATTATAAAGTCGTCATATATTTCACTGTTTTTCACTTTACATTTTAAACGCACTATGCCACGAGGCTTAATTTTAAATCCCCCAAACGTCTCTAATATACCTAATATTCGTCGGCTTTATTTCAAATTGTTTATTTACTTTTTTGAAATAGTAATTTGGTAAAATATTAACTTGCGCGCCTGAGTCTAATTTGAATCGAACATTAGAATTTTCTACCTCAATGATTTCATTCCAAGTATTCACATTACTATTAATTTTCTCTGTACATACCATTTCTACACATAAATTGCTGCTTTCCAGATCAATGTCTTCACTTGTCTTTTGCATGTCTAAATCATCTACTCGAAAAAGTTTTTCCTAAAGACCCGCATCATTTGTACCCATCACTATTCTGTCTCTTATCATTTCATCGTCATGTAGAGTTCCAAAGTCACATTTTCGTGCAATGATTTTTATTTCGGTTAAAAATAGTTCGAACTGTTTTCCTTCTTTTTGAGATCTATTGTAAAAAAGGTAACGTTCATACACTACATTTTTCTTTGGCGTACATACAATACTGTTCAAAAGCATCAATCACATTTTTGCTTACTTTTTTTTGTGCCTCTGTTAACGTAAATGTATTGTAGAGTTCAAGTGCTTCTTCACCAACCAGATTTAAAAACATTGCAACTTTAACCTCTTCATTTGCAGATGAATTTCCGGAAGCTGTCATAAACATGAGCTTGTTTAAATTTTCGCCAATTTTCACTAATATTTCCTTCAAGGCTTAAACTTTTAGGTGGTTTAAAAATAACACTCGTTGATTCCATTTTATTTGCTTGTTTTCTTTTTCAGAACACGTAATAACAACTTTATGTATTGATTTTGTCGAGTGTATATCTGTTTCAAGTTATTTGAATCAATTAAACTTTTCCGACTGCGCCATGTAGTGTTTTATATAAAATAACAGTGAATATCTTTATTATATTACAAATACATATATATATATGAAAACGTCTGTTGAACGTACGTGTGTTGTGTCGCCATGACAGTTGTATATGTGTTCGTAGTCAATATGTACAACGGTGCACTAACAAAGTTACTAGCTAGGGTTATATGGGGCTCATTGTAGCCAACTATTACAATTAATTAGCAATGAAGAAAAACTTATTTATTCTACCGCCAATACAAAATCGTGCTTACCGCATCCGAGAAATATCTAATGTCTGTAAGTTAGAGTAACAAGGAATTATCAAATTCTAACCTTTTTTCAGTGTGAATAAATTCTTTGAACAAAATTATCTTTTTTTTTCTTGAAACCTCATTTCCCTTATAAATTTAGCTTTGTTTTACTTTGAAAATTCATTTCTATTATCTACATTTACTTTAAAATAGTGTTATATTAAGAAAAATGCTTTAAAAGTCATCTCGTATACAAGCATCTATACACTTCTCATTACGGAAAAGGCTCGTATGAGAGATTTCTCATATTTCTCATACGAGCTACCGAGCTCGTATACGAACTCCGCGGTCCGTGTATCGAATTTTTTTTACTAGGGGTCTTTTCCCTAATTTTTCACAAAATCCTGACGCGTGCCGCAGTCAATTTTGCGGATACCAACATCTTGTTTATAGAAGACAAAATTAAATGGAAGAATACTCTGGTATCGAAAATAAAAAAAAGTTTAACTTTGCAGGCGTATGTATAATTGAGGGCGTGGAACGGATAACTGCCTGTAGAGTGTAGCGCATGGCTTAGAGGCGCTCACTATTGTCTGACTGGTATAGTCCCTTTCGACCATGCGCTACAGGCAGTTATCCGTTTCACGCCCTCAATTTTAATATTAATAATAACTTTGATTAATTATGAATAATAATTTATTTCTTACAGGCAATGAGCACATAAGAGTCTGCACGTCTATACCGGGTTGTCTTTTTTCGACTATATGTCTTAAAATATTGGAAGTCAACTTTTTTCCAAGGTGTAGTATTTGCTGGTAGATAATAATGTGTTTATTGCTAGGTATATAGCCCAAGTAATATGACTTTCAGGAATTGAGTTAACTTGAAACAGTGCAAAAAGAATCAACTTTTGGTAAACTTTTCTCAATTGCAAATACCTATAATCAACTTTCCAAATAAAATAGTTACAAAACATGAGATGAACTACAACTGTTTTTATGAACATTTAAACCAAAATATAAAAAAAAAAATTTTCCCATATTTTGACGTTTATCTTTGTTTATACAAGTTAATATAATGTCAAACTATTTAATTGGTATCTGGAAACCTTAATGAATCAATTTTTTCAAAAAACTATAAAATCGGTTCATTGGTTTTGAAGAAACATGTACCGAAAGATAAGAAAGCCAAATTTGACAGGAGACTAAAGTCACTAAAAACTAAATTCAATACTGATATACAAACGTTAAATTGTCATCGATTATTTACATTCCGATATAAAATTGACATCAAATTCTTTAAATCTCTAACCTATAGCACATTTGTCTTTTTAGATCAATTACGGTCTGCCCACAAATGAATGTAAGTTCCAAATCACGGAAATGGCAGATTTCGTACACATGTATCAGCATTAATACTCTAAACACAACATTACCACCAGGAATGGTTATGTCGGGAATTACTACTTTAAGACCACTAATTCAAAGCGGAGGAGTTCCTGCAGGACAGATTGGACAACCTAGACCAGCAGGAATGTTAATTGGTCAGATGGGATTAGCCAGACCGCCAGGAATGATAATTCTTTCAAGTCCAATGAGTTTAGGAACTGTGAGACCTTTATTACAAACTACGGGAATGTTAGCTGGACAAATGGGACAGGTGAGACCGTTAGGAATGATGACTTTAAGACCAGTAGTACCAACTGGAGTATCGGTAGGACCAATTGCATTACCTAGCCCGCCAGGTACGGTAATGATAGGAATAAATCCATTATTGCAAACAACAAGGATAGTGCCTGTACAGGTGGGGTAGGTAATAGCATTAGAATTAATTGCAAATGTAAGAACATTGAAACGACTAGTGGAACATTAGCGATACAAATGGCCCGAAATGGTCATGTTTTTAACAGGTTCAATAATTCTTATGACATTCACAATACAGATTATTTCCTTAACCTTATAAGAATAAGAATTAATTAACAATAAGAATTAATTCTACAAAAGATGAATATATCTAAACAAAAAATACCTGCACGCGTAACCCAAGAAATTTATATATGTGACAGGGACAGTTAAAAGAGATGACCTACGGTTCGAAAAAATCAATTTTTTAATGATTAGTGATTCTGATAGAGACAATTTTTTTTCTATTAGAATCATTAAATAATAAAAAAAATTGATCTTTTGAACCGTAGGTCTCTCTTAACTGTCCCTGTCAAATGTACTGCTAAATTAAAAAAATTGTACTAATTTAATTATTAAATGGCAGAGACTAAAGATTTCTTTATTTATAAATGATACGATAAAGTAGGTAAGAGTAAGAGATTTAATAATTACAATGTTTTAAATCGTAAAGACGACCGTTATAAAAACATTTTCATATATTAATTCAAGTACTGTAAAAGTGATAATTTTGGAGAAATTGTACCGTGTAAAAACTGTAGCTAATGTTTAATGCAATACAAGTAGTTTGTAACAGTAATAAAATGGAGTAAAATATTGTTTTTAATAAAAAAAATTATATATACAATTAATCTCTGCCGTTTTTTTATGAAAATATCTCAATAAATGAAGAAATGTACCAAAATAGGCCAAAATGACACCGCATGCGATAGAACAGGTCAGCCTCCGTTGTGTCTACTAGGGTGTTTTCGCCCTATTGAAAATACCCACATGGGATCCTATATGTGACCGGGTCTGAGAAAAGGGACCTACTTACCAAAATCAACTTTTTGAGAAAAACGCTTTTAAAGTTTTTTATCCAAATAAATTAGATTTGTTGAAACATTTTACATTTTAAATTAACATGATGAGTGTTCTTTATGTATTTTTTTATGCTGAATCCGATTTTCATTCTTAAATAATTGTTCAAACAACCCTGTAATTGTTATAAACAATTTATTTTGCAAAAGTCAAATTATGGAATTTTCAAAATTAATTTAAAGAGTTCCGGATGTCCTAGAGGTCTGAAATTTTTTATGCAAGTTCAGAAATGATACAATAATGAATAATTCTGAACTCTACAATAATCCATAGTTATTTTTTGACTTGCACAACCAGGTTGCCGATGACGGGTATACTTGGGGATAATCATACGTGGGTTCTTATACAAAAACCTATATAAAATCCCAGATCCCACGTAAGAATCCACATGGGATCCCATGTAAAAACAGATGTATATTTGGAACACGATTTGAAGCAGGAATTCATGTGGGAATATGAGTTTGTGTATCTACATAAAAATCCACATGAATTCCTATGTGAGAATACATAAAGGATTCCTTCAAAAATTAAATAATAAATTGTATTATCATTTCAAATCATCAGTAAGAAAAAAAATTCGATAATTTGAAACACTTCTTCTGAGCTATAAACTCTCAGTTATATAGTGTTAAAAAATCATGTTAACAGGGGGGAAGTCGCTCTCGCCACCTGGCGGTGAAAGTATATGAACTGTGGTATTCTGTATCATTAATAAAAAAACCACGTGAGATCCTATGTAAGATCCCATGTGGAAAATTACATGGGAAATAATATACGATCTCACCTGGGATTTCATATAATTTTCATTCCTATGTAAAATCCTACGTAAGATCGCATATGGTTTCATATGCGGGAAATAACATAGGAAATTACATGCGATCTTACATAGGATTTTACATAGAAATGAAAATTATATGAAATCCCAGGTGACATCGTATATTATTTCCCATGTAATTTTCCACATGGGATCTTACATAGGATCTCACGTGGTTTTTTTATTAATGATACAGAATACCACAGTTCATATACTTTCACCGCCAGGTGGCGAGAGCGACTTCTCCCCCTGTTAACATGATTTTTTAACACTATATAACTGAGAGTTTATAGCTCAGAAGAAGTGTTTCAACATATCGAATTTTTTTCTTACTGATGATTTGAAATGATAATACAATTTATTATTTAATTTTTAATTAAATAATTTTTAATCCTTTGAAAATTCTCACAATAGATCCCTAATGTAAACACATATCAAATCTTTTGTGAAATCTTATATATGAAACATGAGAACCCATATGAAATCCTTTATGTATTCTCACATAGGAATTCATGTGGATTTTTATGTAGATACACAAACTCAAATTCCCACATGAATTCCTGCTTCAAATCGTGTCCCAAATATACATCTGTTTTTACATGGGATCCCATGTGGATTCTTACGTGGGATCTGGGATTTTATACAGGTTTTTGTATAAGAACCCACGTAAGAACCCATGTAGGATCCCATGTGGGTATTTTCAATAGGGCGGTGTCAGAAAAAAGTCTTGAGTAACTCACATGAATATTAGTGTTCCAAAGACGGTAAATTACGTCAAGAAGAGAAAGATGATTGTGGTAATTTACCGGTAAATTACTGGTTCGTTTGTCTTCCGAGAATTTTTGAGAATTTAAAAATTTTTTTAATTACTAGTATCCCAGTAAGAAACGAAAAATTGAAAAGGATTGAAATAATTCAAACTCTGTATGGTGTAGTAGAAATTATCCAATACTTTTGAATGCCATTTCTGTCCAATACTTTTCTATACCATGATAGGACCACGTTTCGTCTAAAAATGAATGCTATTCAATTCTTTTTGTAATTTTTAACAAAGACAAAATTTTTTTCTGAATGCTTTCCAATCCCATCCGAAATTATTACAGCCTGTCATTATATCACTTTTCAATTTTTCATTGGAACCGCGTTTCTGCATGCATTCAAGCAATCTTCTGGATTTTTGTAATTTATAAAATACATACAGTGGCAGATTTTGTAAAAAATGTTTGTGTTCAAAGAAAAACTTGCTGAAAAATTGATTGTTTACCAATTTAACGTCATTTAAACGAGTCAGGGCCGTTATTCTGTTAGACAATAAATCATAACCTAAAAATTTCAGAGACCTTTAAACACTTTTAACCCTTATTTTAACTGATAATTTAATAATTATTCCTTTTTAAAATAGCAAATAAATTCATGAGTGCAGTTATTTGAAAGTAATTGAACATTGTATATGTGAACAATATTAGTATTATATTATTATACTACTGTCGCGGAATTCAGAAGCATAGGGCAGAAATGGTATTCAAAAGGATAGAATTTTTCTAATGCTTCTTAATCTTTGCTTTCTTACTGGGTATTCAAGAGGATTGATATCGTTACTATTTATATTGCTCTCACTGGATAGAAAAGTATTGGACAGAAATGGCATTCGCAAAAGAATAGAATCTTTTTAATACTTTTCAATTTTTCGTTTCTTACTGGGATTTCAACATACAATGACAAGCAGGTTATTCGAAAAGCAATGCAAAGAATGCATTCTACGCAAACGCAACTTAACCTAGATTTTTCATTGACTTACTGACTTTGATCACTCTGACTTTTTCTATAAAAATGAATTTTAGACCTAAGCCGAATAAAACGGGAATCTGTCGCAAGCATGAGATAAAAAAAGACATACATATCGTCTATCTTTTCTTATTTCCCTTTTTATTCTGCTTAGGCCTTTGGTTGTCATATCAGCCATGAAATAACGCCATATTAACCCTCCTACGATTTTATCATTTTTCCACTTTGCAGGAAAAAAAATTATAATTTTGTTAAAATTAATTTTGACTAGGTATTTCATATTTATTTTGATATTAAATACAACTATTTAGCTTCAAGTTACAATTAGAGTTTTATTTATATAACTCTCGAATTTAATTTTTTTAAATAAATAAATGAAAGATACACCCCGAGTATACTCGGGGTTAAACGTAGGGAGGTTAATCATTCTCGAATTAATGTGTTTAATTAAAGTCAAATTAATTAACATCGATCAAATGCCTTGCCCAAAAAGTGTGGTTTGGAAGTATTTTACACAAATAAATCCAGTTGGAGAAGCTTACGTAAAGCTTATATAATGATTAATAAATTATGTAATTTCATATAATAACACTTCTATCCTTTATTTTTAACCTACATACTAAGAAAATACATATTTAAATTAAAAAGTAAGTTATTAATCATTTAAATGAATATTCTTGTATATTCTTATAAATTCTCTTTTCTTCGGTAATTTACCACAATTTTCTTTCTTACCTTCTCTGGTTTCAATTTTACCGAGAATTTTAAAACACTAAGGGTATAGTCCCATGTTGAGCAGAAAACACAATGCAAAGCAGAATGTCGTGAGAGTGGAAAGGATAGTGATATCTGACTATCTCCCTTGCACTCACGAAGGCCATGAGTGTGAGAGAGATGAAGATATACGTTCGCTATATTTGCACTCATGGCCTAGTTACAAAACGCAACGCAAAACGCTGCTATGGGACTCCACCCTAATGAATATCGACTCAAATCACTCAAATTTAAGGGTGAAGTCCCATGGCAGCGTTTTGCGTTGTGTTTTGTAACTAGGCCATGCGTGTGAGAGAGATGGAGATATACGTTCGCTATATTTGCACTCATAGCCTAGTTACAAAACGCAACGCAAAACGCTGCCATGGGACTCCAGCCTTACTTTAGGTACTTGAAACATTCCTTCTTCATCTAAAAAGAAGGACTTTGCAAGCTATTAGGTTGAGTCCACAATAGGCATCGATTTCTATTGTTCGAACAATGGAAATCGATGTAGAGGGTATGCATCGCTTTAAGAAAAGTGCCTATTGTGGACTCAACCTTAGATTACCCTTTGTTTAATATGTAAAGTTGATTGAATTATCTTCATGATTGAAATACAGGTAATGGTTTTTCGATTACTACTATGGTACCACAAACATAAAAATTGGTTGTTTTCGTGAAACCTGCTTGTATCGGCTTTGTGTTTAGTACACCAAAATACATGGGGGTAATGTATGTCGTGCAGGATGCCTTTTTTGGTGCTATGTTTTCATTTGGGTTTTTAAATAAACAATTACACTGGCACACAAAAAATATTGATGTTCTAAGCTTTATTAGGTCAGACCATGACTACTTAATGTTTTTGGGGTCTATTTAACCCCATAACGCCAGGGTTTAGAGATGACATGAAAGAAAATTTAAAAATTTAATCTTAAAATTTGTAAATTTTTCGAATTAAATTATTAAACTGAATTAAAAAGAAAATCCTTTCATAGAAATGCGTAAATGAATTAATATTATTTTTTGTGAAAAAATCTAAATCTTGAAAAATTGCTCTTTTACTTCTTTTTTTGTTGTAATTTTATAAAATTAGGAAAAGTTAATTTTTTTAATACCAATTAAAATATACCTTTTCAAGTGATGTGAGCATGTAAATAAAGAAACAGTAATTGAGGCCTTGGATCCAATAACTCGCCCGACGCTCGAAAAAACGCGCAACTGCCAGTCAGTGAGCAGTGAGCGCCTCTGGGCCACTCACTGCTACCCGACTGCTATTAAGGAGAGTCCAGAATAGAGTCGACGTCGGTATCAACGCGTTGATACTAATGGCACGGTCACACCTCGGCTGCCTGCCTGCCTGCGCAGGCAGCCGCCACGAGAGTAAGAGAGAGGAGACGAATAATTTAAATTGTCTGACTCTCTTACTCTTATGTATTGCCATGACGACCTGCAGGCAGGCAGGCAGGCAGCCGAGCTGTGACCGTACCATAACGCGTTGTCCTATGTATTCCATATGGAGGTCACGTGACCAACGCGCTTCTACCGACGTTCACAAACCCTATTCTGGACTCTCCTTGACACTGAGAGAAAAAAGCCGCCGTTTCAGCGGTAAAGTGATGCTATTTTAGCAGGAGTTGCACCGCCAAGCGAAAACTGCTGTTTTAGCATAGGAACACTGCAGTTTTAGCATTATAAAACTGTAGAAGTATCAGGAAAGTCATGCTAAAACTGCAGTGTTCACACAGTCATTTTAGCATGCCATAGTGTTTCTCAACACTGCTCAACACTGCCAAATTTGCATGAGTAAACGGCGCCACTTTGGCGGTTTTTTTCTCTCAGTGTAGCGCGTGCCTTCAAGCGTCGGGCGAGTTATTGGATCCAAGGCCTCAATTATAATTACTACACGGAAAAAAAAAGTTCCCAGATATTTCAGGAATTATTTCCTAACTCTTGGATACGTTGTAACAGCTCTGAACTAGCGAACAGCATTCAATGGTAATCAATGAATGTTTGAAAGAAATTCAGGAACTGTATTAGAAAAAGCTATAAATAGTCCAATAGTCTCTTTTTCATGTAAAGTTCATGGCACTGGCCGCAACTGTTTCTGAAATTTTCGGGAACTCGTCAAGGAATCTTGGTGCGCACCAGTCTCAACAAGTCTCACAGTCAGTAAGACTTGCGTGCCTTATATATTTATTTTATGCTGAGGTATTTAACTCGCCTGTTTAGCTCAGCTGGATAAGACGCCGGACTTTTATTCTCGGGTACGCGAGTTCTGTTCCAGCCGCTGTCGATTTTTCTCTCATATGGTTTTTTCTATTTCAGAAACTTCCAAAAAAAATAAAAATTGTATGTGACCTTCAAGGATCAATGTCTGAGTGTGTGTGTGCGCACGTGTCAAGGAGGGAAAGTGGGAGGGGGGAAGCAGAATCCATTTTTTCTTGCATTCGCCTAACTTTTCGATTTTCTTGAACAGTTCCCGACTTTTTCAAGAACAGTTTGCCGAGAAGTGGTGAAATAGTTATAATTTGTAGAGAAATAGTAAATGACATATTTAAACGAGGCAACCTTTATAGTTATCTGTGTACTACCCGCCGTATCCAAGAGTTTAGAACAAAGTTCCCGATTAATCCTCGAACTTTTTTTTTCCGTGTAGAACAACTTTTCTGCGTACAACAGTTAAGGTAGGTTATGAGGGTGTACTGTAAACTTTTCTTTACAAAATTTAAATGTAAAATACTTTGAAAGATATTTAATTTTAAATAACATTTTAGTTGTAACCTATTGCGCAGTACAATTATTAGCATTGTTCTCTAAGAAAACAGAAGTAACAAATTTTGCATGGTTGATAAATTCCATACTGTGCGATTTTGAGGCATACTCATATTCTAAAACAATAAGCTCATTTTTACCAAGCTTTAAAATGACACCTGGTATGTACAAAGTTATTTGTGGACCAATTAATGGCCAATATCTGCCAATGTTGTATCCATTGATATAAGCAACACCTTTTCCCCATCCACTTGTATCCAGAAATGTGTCTACCGGATTTTCTTTTATAAGAAATGTTGATCTATAAAAAGTAGGTCCACGACGTAGGCATTCAGATACTGGGATTGTAGAATTTACATTGAAAAGTTGTTTTACATTTTCTAATGTGAAGCCGGTCACATTCCACGTTAATGATGTTTCTTCACTAAGGCTTACATTGAACAATCCCTGAAACAAAATATTTTCATACTTGAATATTTTATGGAAACTGGAGGCGCATGATTATTCCACAAATCTCATTTTGACCAAACTGTCATTTTACCGAATTGCATTTATCCAAACTGTTAATTTATCGAAATGTCATATTTGCGAATAGCCATTTTTGCAGATTGAAACTTTTGCGAAATTTCATTTTTACAAATTGTTATTTTTACGAATCGTTATTGTTCCTAAATGCGTCATTTTTTCAAATTGTCATTTTTACGAAATGTCACTTTTGTGTATCGCTATTTTAACGAATTGTCACTTTTGCGGATAGTCATTTTTGCGAATTGTCATTTATGCGAACTGACATTTTTTCGAATTGTTATTTTTTTCAAATTGTCATTTTTGCGAATCGACATTTTTACGAATTGTCACTTTTGCGAAAAGTAATTTTTGTGAAAATTGCTATAGTAAATCTATATATGCATACAAGTTTACTATAGCATTTTTCACAAAAATGACAATTCGCAAAAGTGACATTTCGTTAAAATAACAGTTTGGATAAATGCAATTCGGTAAAATGACATTTGGGGAATAATCATGCGCCTTGAAAATCTGAATTCGTGTTTTTAGATTTACTACTACTTTTATTAATTTACACTAAAAAAAATTTATTTGATTCAAATAACCGATTAGGTAATTGACTATTATCAATTAAATATTTAATTTAATCAAATAATATTTATTGGAGTCAATTAAATGTTGATTGGTAGTGGATCCCCTCCTTCCTACTAATTGTTCAAGTAGTGAGGTGAGAATCTCTACTGTTTGGAAATGGTGGATTTGTAGGTTTTGAAATTGTTTTGTGGATGCCAATAAAGTTGAAGAAATTTATAAAATAATGAGAATATATTATAATCTCTAAACCCCAATACAATTATCTAAATTTCCCTTATTTATCACAAAGGGATATTTAGTTACAAAGTCGATCGTAACAGCTTCAAATACAAAAATTATTGGTATAATACCACTTAATTTATACTCCAATAAATATTATTTGATTCAAGTAAATATTTAATTGATAATAGTCAATTCATCGGTAATTTGAATAAAATAAATTTTAATTTCAGTGTAGACTATTTTTTACTAAAATAAATGCTGCAGTGAATAATTAAAGGTATCTAACTGCGACGTCTAGTCGACGTCAAAGAGGTTTAACAAGACCCACTTGTACTCGAACTTGTACTCAAACCTTTCGAGTACTCGATTTGATTCGAGCTCTTGAGTATTGAAAAAAAGTTATTTGAAAAGAAACTATTTACTTGATCAATACCTTATAGTCCTTAATGTTTCCTCCGTAATTTACATGTCCTTCATTTAAAACAAGTAGTGTTAAATGTTTCTCATAGGGGTTATGTATAGTCAAATCGAATTTTCTATCCATGCGACTTAATATTCCAGTTAACTGACGATTTATGTAAACATAACATCTGTCGTGTACATGTGTCTTTAAAATTGTGGATGTTTCGTTTTTTAAGGGCAACTGTGTTTCGAATAGAACCAACTGCAAGGGCAGAATTTGTAATTCCTCAAAATTTGGAATTTTATTGGTTTGTACAACTATTGTGCCGAATAAAGATTTTGCGACAGGATCAAAAAGATTTATCACGGATTCCAGAACAGTAATACCATAATTTTTCTTTTTATTTCCAGCAGGAATAGGCAAATCTTCCAAGGGCATGTACTAAAACAAACAAATTTATATTATACCTACAAACTTTTTAAATATTTAAAAATTATAACCTCACATTTTAATTTAGAAAACATGAAAATTATTTATTCCAAAGTGTTTAAACAAAATTATAATAATTCTTATATTATTAGCGTAATGACTTTTACCGCAACTGTACAAAATTTCCTGTGCCATATTGTCGGTTCTAGTTTTCGAGATTTTCGCAATTTAGTAATTTTGGAGCAAAATCTTGATTTTTTAAAATTTTTTATTATCAATCTACATATTTTGACAAGTTGAAGCATGCGGTTTTCATTAATTTATAGATAATTTAACTGTTTGATTTCATTATGGTTCTTTAGAAAAATAAAAAGGGCCCATTTTGTCGGCCATTTGCAAAAGTAATCCGTATTTTAAAAATGGAGGTGTAGAAAAATTTAAAACCTCTTGATTTTTCATTTTTAAGGTGTCCTGATGGACTGTAAACAATAATTCTTATCTGAATAACTTTTCAGAAGAACCAGAGATATTGATGTTGGAGTCTTTTTTTTTGTACCCAAATTGTCGAAATGTTAATTTGGATATTGTGTCAATTTTTTCATAATAGCCCTACTGCGGAAGTAAAAAGATTGAAAGAGATAGAATTTTGGGGATAGTACCTAAGAGATAAAGTTTTTTCTATCCCTTTGAAATAGCCACTTTGGGGCTGTCCATAAATTACGTAAGACATTTTTTGGGTAAATTTGACCCCCCCTCCCCCCCTCGTAAGATATTTTACATACATTAGCGCCATTTTTCCTATTGTTCGTAAGATCTTGCTGACCCCCCTCCCCCCTAAATGTCTTACGTAATTTATGGACGGCCCCTTTGTATATGCGAAATAGTGTACATTTTTATCTCCAAATTTCCATCTCTTTTTAGGGTACATTTATACGACGGTCGGTAGAAAAAAAATTTACCGAAAAAGTCAAAATCGCGTTCACACTTTGCTTTTCCGATAGAATGGAAAAACTGTTTCTAGCGGGAATTTAAAAATTTATATTTTATTAAAATGAATTAAGACTGTTTTAAGTAAGAAAAATCAAGTTTTTATTAGATAAATATTGTTTTTTAATGATTTACAATAGGAAGATGAATTTTCTTGATAAATAACCATGTAAATAAATATTAATTAACTTTTGTTTTGAAAAGTTGTAAGCAACGTCACAGCTCTTGTTGATGCGGAATTTTGTGTGAAATTGTATAAGTATAATTATAAATTATTAAATAATATTTATATAATTTGAATAAAAATGTTTAATGGGGATATTTAATATGCATTTTATTATTTGTATATTTTACCGGCAAAACCCGAAGACCAGGCAATTCGAGAATTGCCTAAATTTATAGGAATTATCCGAAATTCCTTGTGATTCATAGGCATTTACGAAATTCCTAGGCATTTCGCGAAGTGCCAAAGGTAATTTAGGCAAATTGGAAAAGCAAAAAAATGTACGAAATTTGTATGATAATTGTGTATTTAATATTTATCATTCGAAACTATTTGTTGCAACAAGACGAACTATTGTAACATTTAGAGGGGGCACATGATTATTCCCCAAAATTTAATTTCATAATATTCAAGACATCGAAATTCTTATTATCGAAACGTCAATTCACATAATTTTCATATTTCGAAATACCATGTATCATAATTTTCATTTTGTCGAATAATCATTGATTTTAATTTTTAAATAATCGAATTGTTTTTTAACATATTATTTTTTTTTTTTTCTAAAAATTTTTTGACATATATTTTATTATTCTTAATGACTATTTGTCATAACTATTAATTCTCCGAATGACTACATAACCTAAAATTCATTCACACTAATCGCCATTTAATATAATTTGTATGTTTGAGAAACGTCAATTCACCTAATTTTCATATTTCGAAATACCATTCAACATAATTTTCATTTTGTCGAATAATCATTGATTCTAATTTTTAAATAATCAAATTGTTTTTTAACATAATCTGTTCGAATTGTCAAGTAGTAGAATGGTAGTTCGGGTTTTGCCGGTAACATATATACATGAGTATAAGTTATTTTTCGAAAAGTAGTAGATGTAATTTTGTAGGGGAGGATGGGGCAAGGATAGTTAGTTGCTGTTATGCTTAGACGGCTTGCTCAAAAATCGCGTAATTCATAGTATATTCGCGTTTTAACACCAAAAGATGATTGTAAAAATTGCAAGTCAATCTGTCACCATTTGCGAAGTTGGGAGATTATTTTTGAAAAAAGTCTGTTTTGCTAAAATGTCAACGTAATATAATGTTTATCATATTGTTTTCTACACTAGAGTTTCAGAATATTTATTTACGTAAGTGTTTTCCGGAGTGGAATTTCCTGCTGAACACGAATATCGTATTTATTTTCAAATTAATTCACGTCATTTCTTAAAATTTAGAAAAAACTGAAATATGGGCTCACGGGGCAAGGATAATTAGAGATAATACGGCACGGTAAAATCGTGTTAATACCATTGAAAATTTTAAAAAAGTTTTTAATTGTTCTCTTTAGGTTGATATACATAATGGTGCGTAATTACCCGAGACAAAATTTTCAGCCTACTTTCAACATGCTTTGAATCTACAATTCTTTACCCCCTAAAAATCTTATAATATTGATTTGAAACCGACTTATAATAGATATTTGCTCCTAACGAAGCTACAATCAGGCTAAATTTTGTCACTTTCGTCCAGTTTTTCCTATTTTCTGGTTGATTATAGTGTTGTAAGGTTTATTTTGCAGCCTCAAAAGTTTGATAGAAGGTTCGACAGTGCGATTTATACCTGCTAATAAAGCACGTAAGGGTTAAGATTCCTTAAGGTAGCGTCTGGAGTGTTTCCATATTTATGGCCTATTTTATTGCCAAGCAGGATTAAATGAAAGAAAATGACGTTTTTCAGATTTATGAATTTTTTATTTGTTACTTTTACAATTAAAGTTTTTACATTTTAAATTAAAGTAAACTTTAAACGTTACAACAAACATTATTATTAAGTTTCTCACTTAATTCGAATTTTTTTATATTATTGCTCTTTTTTCTTTTTGTATTTTATATATATTTTGTTGGAATCTTTTTTATTCATGATGTTGATATAATCGGCCCTTGTCAGCTTTACATCATCCAGTTAACAATCTTCTTGTCCATTCTAAACAATAAATAAAATAGATTAATATTGCATAGAAATATTGCCAATATTTTTGCAAATGTTATATTCGACTTAAAGCAATAAAGCATGGCGACATTGTAGTGTCGATGCTCGAAAATATTTAGGTAATATTGTCATTCAATACAGCGGTAATTTTTATTGTGATGATCTGGAGACAACGTTGAAATAATTTATAATATTTGTTCTAAATACAAAATATTTAATATTATGCGAAAATGCTTGGTATAATATCGTTTCAATATTGCCTCAGTAATGTAACATTTGATTCAAATAATTTTTTTAATGTAGGGTTAACAATGGATATTGTGATTTTACGCCTAATACCTGTGATATTTGAAGTTATTTAATATTATTACACAAAATAAATATCACTTACCTCCAAACATTACAATTCTTGCTAATTAACCTTTTGATTTTGGTTCATTAGGGTCAACCTACTCCTTGATAGTTTTTATCTTACTTGTCACCCACAACACAAGCACAAAATTGTTTTTTTTATTTTTATTACATAAATTTTGTTTAAATCAAATTTTATTGTACACTTTCAAAAAATGAGTGCAAACTTTGTCGTAGTTGACGAAAAACTAACTGCAATGTGAGTTTTAGGCCATGTGATAGTTGTGTTTTTACTATAGTAAATTTTTGGGTGGGCAATTTGGAAATCCCAAAACTATATTTTGTGTATATTTATTCATATATACCTCTTCATATCCACTAAGATCCACTAAGCTCCACTAAGCTAAACATCTTTAAACACTTACTTTAGGATTGCTAGTAATTTTTTGTTCCATTTTTATGATTGCCTACACTTTTATGGTCTGTTTCCGGAAACGAAAAAGGATATTTTTGGGACAAAGGAGATTCGAAAATCAATTTTTTAGGTTCAAACGAAGTCGGTGAGGAAGAAAGTAGTGTATGTTAGGGTTAAAGGAAGGTTAGTAAGGTTGACTATTTCAGAATCATAAAATTAAGAAGTTCTTTTGAGGTTCATAAGGTTCCTTTTAGGGTTGGAAATGTACAATCGAAGGTTGATTAAAGGTTGAAGTAATGCCATAAGGGTCAAACAATCGTTAAAAGGTTTGAATCAGTTTTAAACTAGGTTTTTATGGGCCAATGTAAGTTGAAAATTTCATCTCGGGTATACACAGTAAAAAGTAAATCTTAATTTAAGAGCTGCCTTAAATTCAACACTGTCTGCTATAATGTTAAAGGATACGAAAAACGTGCGTAAATTCAACATTGACTGTCTTAAAAATGTTGCATCTTAATTTAAGGCAGCTTTCGTGCCTTAAAATAAGATTTTCTTTTTACTGCACGGAGAGAAATCTGCTGCTAATATTACTCGAAAGAGCACATTACTTAAATTGCTTAACGTTCCCTGTAAAAAAAAGTATTGGGAGGTACGGGATTCCGTATTGCAAGTGCCAACCTGCCAATGCGGTATTCGCGAATTACCGCATTGGGTGTCGTGGTGAATACGGAAATCAAGGGGTCCTAATGCGGTGCCAGTTTTAAGCTTTAAAAAAACGAAAATACGTGACAGGAGGAAATAATTAGTGTCAGTGGAGAAATATGCGAGTTAAAGGAATGAGAAAATAATAATAGTGAGTGTAAAAATGAAATTTTAAGAAAGAAAGGTAAGTTGAACTGTCAAATATTGAAATATGGGCCCAATGCGGCATAGGCTGATTTCAATGCGCCACAGCAAAAGCAACTTTGACTGGTTTGAATGGCGTGAAATAGGTAAACAAACATTTTCTAACACATTTGTCTCCGTACACAGACACTTTTCACTAAATCTGCCAACGTACAATTGGTAAGCATCTTCTAAATTACAATAATCGAAAATATTGTTTAGATTCATGCAGAAAAGTGGTTATAAAATAAAAAATTGGAAAGTAATGTAATGCAAATCATATGTCAGCTGGGCCACTGTGTTCGCTCGATTCGCTCTGCTTGCTTCTGCCCTCTACTGGCGACTTGCACTATGTACCGATTGTGTACCGTATTGAAAGCAGCCTACGCCGCATTGGACTCATATTTGACAGTTCAACTTACCTTTTTTTCTTAAAGTTTCATTTTTACACTCACTATTATTATTTTCTCATTCCTTTAACTCGCATATTTCTGCACTGACACTAATTATTTCCTCCTGTCACGTATTTTCGTTTTTTTTAAAGCTTAAAACTTGCACCGCATTGGGACCCCTTGATTTCCGTATTCACCACGACACCCAATGCGGTATTTCGCTAATACCGCATTGGCAGGTTGGCACTTGCAATACGGAATCCCGTACCTCCCAATACTTTTTTTTACAGGGTTTCTCTTATATTTTTAGCATCGATTCATATACTTATTGTAAAAATACTTTCAATGCAATAAGCATAAGAGACAGTAGCAAATTTTGCACGAAATCTTTATTATAAATACAAAGAGAACGTGCTATAGGGATTTGAGATTTGATTTTTTGATTTGATTTGTGTAGGGATTTGAGTCTACAGTAAAAACCTATTAATGTATGACAATCCTTCAACATAAAGCAAGTAAATTTTTTGTAAACAAAATATGTCGTTGTAATTTATTGTTTGATAATTTAAACCACCAATAAATCTTTATTTGGTTTTGTTTAATTTAGACGAGTAACGTTCATAATGGATTTTTTTTACACAAACTTCCGCATCAACAACAGCTGTGACGTTGCTTACAACTTTTCAAAACAAAAGTTAATTAATATTTATTTACATGGTTATTTATCAAGAAAATTCATCTTCCTATTGTAAATCATTAAAAAACAATATTTATCTAATAAAAACTTGATTTTTCTTACTTAAAACAGTCTTAATTCATTTTAATAAAATATAAATTTTTAAATTCTCGCTAGAAACAGTTTTTCCATTCTATCGGAAAAGCAAAGTGTGAACGCGATTTTGACTTTTTCGGTAAATTTTTTTTCTACCGACCGTCGTATAAATGTACCCTTATACCCTATTATATCTCCTATCTATCTCTTTTTATACCTATATGTACTTTTATCTCTTTTTATTTCTTTTTGCTGCAAAAATAACTTGCATAAATGGTCAAATTTACTTAAATTACGTAAATAATCACATTTACGTAAGATTATTTAATTACGTAAGTTATTCCAGTTGCGTAAGTTACGTAAGTTTGATTAATTGCATAAGCTATTCTATTTACGTAACTTACGTAAGTTATGTTATTTACTCTGGTTACAACTCGGGCGTATTATGGTCACTTTATCTACTTGTACAGGCGCGTACCAAGTTTTACCTTATAACCCAGCTGGTCAATAAAGAAACCATTATAGCCCTAAGGAGATAAAGGGTACATTATTGACCGCTCACAGGTCAATAAAGTATCCTTTATCTCCCTAGGGCAATAATGGTTACTTTATTGACTTGCTGGATTATATGGGAGAACAGGTAGCATAGAGTAACCTTAATACGCCTTTGTTGTATAAAGCAAAGTATGCAACAAGGGAGGTAACCTTGTTTATAACCTCGCACAATATTGAAAAACGAGTCGTTTAGTTAAAACTCAGTTTGTTAATTTAGTTTCGTGTCGTTATTGAAAAAGATTTATACAGAAGGAGAGATAAAAAAAAAGTGATTGAAGTGATAAAGTAAGGATAGACAATAAGATAGCGAAACTTTATCTCTTTCCATCTCAGAGATATAAAAAAATATTCAAAGAGATAGGATTTCTATCCCTTTACTTCCAGCAGGGAGAGTCTGTCAAAAAATTTTAAATAAGTTGAATATCTATTCTTCTTCTTCAAATGACATAATAAAATATTGTACCTAATCATTAATCTTGTAAAAAAATGGTTTCTTAAAAGAAAAACTGTCTTTTTTAGGAGACGCATGCATTTCCCCTAAACGCCAAGTCATCGTCGAATGGACAAAACGTGGAATGCTAAAAACATTGAATGGACAAGAGGTCGAATGCTAAAAACATTGAATCGTCATTTAGTCGAATGCTAAAAACATTGAATTGTCAATTCGTCGAATGTTCTAAACATAATTATCATTTCGTCGAATGCTGAAAACGCCAAATGTTCAAAACGTCGAATTTTCAATTCGTCGAATGTTCAAAACGTCGAATGCTTAAAACATTGAATTTTCAATTCGTCGAATGCTAAAAACGTCGAACTGTCAAATCGTCGAATGCTAAAAACATCAAATTGTCAAAATTTTGAAAAATATGTTTGATTTAATTAACATTAACTTAAAACAAACAAATGTTTACTTAAATCAAACAGATTTTCCAAACTTTTGACGATTCGACATTTTGAGCATTCGACAAACTGACAATTCAATGTTCTGAGCATTCGACGAATTGACGATTCGACGTTTTGAACATTCCACTACTTTACCATTCTATACTACTTGACAATTCAAACAGATGGCGTTTCGACAATTTTGTTCATTCGACTACTTTACCATTCTATACTACTTGGCAATTTGAACAGATGGCGTTTCGACTATTTTTTGAACATTCGACTACTTTACCATTCTACTACTTGACAATTCGAACAGATGGCGTTTCGACTATTTGAGCATTCGACGAACTGACAATTCAATGTTCTGAGGCTGTGTTTACATGCTTGTGTTCAAACGCTGCGTTTTGCGTTGAGCGATGATTTAAGCATTCGACGAATCAACAATTCAATGTTTTGAACATTCGACGAATTGACAATTCAATGTTTTGAGCATTCGATGAATTGACGATTCAATGTCTTTAGCATTCGACCTTTTGTGCATTCGATTTGTTTTTAGCATTTGACGTTTTTTTGTCCATTCGACTACTTCCCGGTAAGAAGCGTAGAACTGAAAAGAATTCAAAAGTTGTATTCTTCTTAATAGGCGAATTTACCTCGGAGCTCTATTCCACGGGAACCACCAAAATTTCAAAAAAATCTATTATTCTGAATTGACTTAACAAAAATATGAAACGCGCAGTCAAAAGAATCAGAATCTACAGCAAATCGCAGTAGAAATTTCTATTCCACTGAATTGACTCACTACCACTCAAGATTCCACTAGAAAGTGAGGTTAGGTTTCAAAACTTGACGTTAAACATTAAACATGAAAATTCCTTTCAGTAAGAGCATTTTATACTTTATCGTAAGCACTTTGCGTTTTTTAACCATATTTTCACTAGTTTTAATATTTAATTTTAATAGTTTAGCACTGAAATTACAATGAAATTCACACGACGCGAAACATAACTGTCACTGCGTTTTATTTAAAGACAATAACTAGAGGAGCTCCTACAGACAATTGGAAAGTTTAGGCTTTTCCAAATTGTTTGTCAAAAGTTGTATTCATTTTAATGCGCTTCTGATATTCGAAGCAGTCTATTGAGAAGAATAAACATTTCATACTTACTCGTCGAACATTCTATTCTTTTGAATTGACTACCTAGAATCGTTAGAAGTCAATCCAGTGAATTTAAAAGAATAGAACTCCATATTTTTTTCAAGAACTTTTAATACCACAAAACTTTGCGCATTAAGAAAAATAGAAAATTTGGATTCTTTTCTATCTGCAAATCGACGTGAGCAATAGAGAAGAATTGATTTTTTTTTAATTTGGATGGTTCCCGTGGAATAGAGCTTCGAGGTAAATTCGCGTATTCAGAATAATTCAAAATTCTCGTTTTCAAGCATATCTTCTGAAAATTGAATTCTCTTCTATTCTACGCTTTTTACCGAGTTGGTATTTGACTATTTGAACATTCGACGACTTGGCGTTTAGGGGAAATGCATGCGTCTCCTTTTTAGAAAAGGGCCCATATTGTTGATTTTTCGTATTTTCAAAATTAAGAGGGGGGGGGGGTGGTTTTGAAAATTTAAAACCTGTTGGTTTTTCATCTTCAAGGTGCCCTGAACTGGAAACGCTTCTTATCTGAATAACTTTCAAGAAGAACCAGAGATATCACCATCAATTCGTATCACAATCTTTAATTTCGTTTTTCTCGAAATGAGGTTTTTGGCGTTCTAAACTTTGTAATTCCGCAACTCGGCGAATTTTTAACCAAAAAAATTCCAAGACCACTCAAAATTTTCCAAATTTTGCCAGAAATACGCCTAAATATAGACAACTCCAATAGTGCCCAAATAGGCCCTTTTCATGTGGACGTCCACATTTAATTAGGGACCGTTGAAAAAATACGTAACGCTTTTTGGGGGGAGGGGGGTCGAGATATTTGTTACGGTCAGCAGAAAAAATGGCGCTAATGTATACAACATTGCGTTTCATGGGGGGAGGGGGGGTCCAAATTTCCGAAAAATAGCGTTACGTATTTTTTGAACGGCCCCTTATAATAAAATAAAAAATCAATAAGCTTTGAGAAACTGAAAAGAACACTTTATAAAAATGTATATATCAAACTAAATATAAAGTTTCAAACAATAAAATATGAAGAAAACTTTTGCTTTATTTTTCCTGTAAAAGTGTGATATTGCACCAACTCTACGCTTTTTAAAATTAAAATTCTTATACATATACTTACACTTTTAATAACATCTCTCATTGCAAAATACTTTGGTGTCACGTCTCCAGCTTCCGTCAAAGGAGCATCGTAATCATAAGAAGTCAGTAGTGGTCTAAAGTTTGGATCAGTATTAGCACCTGCGTATTACAATACATGTGTAGTAATAATTATATTTTAATTGTATATTTGAGCAATTTTACAATTCCCTGGTGAATCTCCCTTGAGTCAAAGACTTTTGGTTATGGTAAGAAAATACTTTTTGTCCTACAAGATTTTTTCTTAAACCAACCCTTTGTTAAAAAACCACATTTGTTTAAAATTTACCCAAAAAAATTAAACATTTAATTCATTGCTAAATGCATTTGAACAATGAAAAACTCGTTTTATTAATGTATTATTTTCATATTATTTATGAAAGTAGAAAATATTTGCTTTGAATTGAGACCTTGACCAACTTTCTATTTATCTTTACTAAAAAAATTAAAATATAAATATAACTTTTTGTAATGTCTTTATTTGCTGTATAGGGTGGGGGCAAATCCTACCTGATTTAAACCCGAAATTTGTTCCTCCGAAGAACATGTATATATTTACTGATGCTCCAACGGACAATATTTCATCTAAAGTTTTTACTACTTTCAGTGTTGAAACTTTCTGCATAGGCTCTCCCCAGTGTGTTAACCATCCTGGATAATATTCCGAGTTTACAAGAGGTCCCTAAGAATTTTAAATCCATATTAAGAATATTATTTAAAAATCACGTAAAACATGTGCCCTAAATAGCAGACCAGTAAAATTACCAAATAAGATTCACCAACATGACTTACATCCCAAAAAATAATTTAAGCTCAATCGCGTGTCAATATTGTCTAAACATTAATTATTTTCGCCCTGTGGAAACATTGCGCATACTAATCTTTTGAAGCCTTGCAAGGCAATATTAATGCAATCTAGAGGCAACTTTGCCTGGTAATGTAATTGTAACAAAATATTATTATAATAGATGTAAATGTTTTTTGGATTTTTTAAAATGAGAATTCCAAAAAAATTTTTTTTGCAACAAAATATATTATATTACTAAATACCATTGTTGAATTATTTGAAAAAAATTAAAACTTGTAACATTTTTGAACATTTGCCATGAAATGATGCCTCAAAATTAACTGACTATATATTTTATTAAATTGGTAAAATTATTTTTAAACATAATATAAAAAAATATTGACCGCAGTCTCTCATGTCCAAATGGACATGTATATAAGCAGTACTATAATACTGCGGTCAACTATGTGAAGGTTAGTTTTACTCGTTTGACGCGGAGGACATCCCAAAAACGAAAAGATTTCCGAATAAAGATTCGGAACCCATCAAACTATTACAACTGCGAACAAGAAACTAGGTAGCATATTGGAATTGCAACCTATTTAAAAAATTACTAAACGTATCGGAATTCAGTCAAATTCACCCTGTTCCGCTTACCTGCGCGTGAACGTTATTGACTGCAGATTTTTTCCAAAAACATCGTCGCGTTTAAAAAGAACTTGGAATTTCCATTTTTATAAATGTATGTTTCTATAGATACAGTCAAATCAAAAGGATAATAATATATAATGTTCAACGATGAGTAAATCTGAAATGTTTATTTCTGACAATTATTGCGACAGCGTCGAATTTCAGAACCTCGATAAATGGAATATAATATTTGAAAAATAATTTGAAAAAACCTCATCTTTTCAGGAAATTCTATTATACATATGTGACTGTCCACGAGAAAACAAGGCTTAGCTCCCAAACGTGAATTTCACAGGGCGAGCGATTGAAGTACTACGATTGAAGTTAACTACGCTTGACATACCCATCTTTAAAACGATATATTGTCGAAAGTAATTGATATTTTAACTTTTGACTTTTGCATTTGAAAAAGCAACATAAAATCTGTCGATTACCATAAAAAAATAAAAATTGATTTTTTGGACCTAAGCCTTGTTTTCTCGTGGACAGTCACATATTGCTCTCTCGCTGTAGCACAATGTTTTCAATACTCTTTGTCTATTTCATTAAAAGTAACTAAAGTACTATTGTAGTGGTACAAATAACATTACAACTACTTTTGTGTTATGTTACGTCACCGTAACCTATTTTCAATAATAATATGTAGAATAATAATTAATAATAATAATAATCATGATAATTAATAATAATAATAGTAATAATCATAATAAAAGTTGATAACAAAATTGTTATTTACATATTATTATAAATAATAACTATAAATATTAATACACGGAAAGAAAAAGTCCGTCAACCATTAATGGATTAGTATATTACTTTGAGACGGGACTCTTTTTCCGTTGATGGTTACTTAACTTTACTTAACGATTGAAAACGAGTCATGGATTGATTAGAAGGCCAGTATTTGACCAATTGTTTTAGATTTAATGCTGAATTGTTATCAATGGCTGTTTGAATGTTTACGAATCATTAGTGAAAGTTTGTGAAACGTTAGTTGACTCGTATTCTAAATCGGCGCTCTTCACTAGCGCATTGTTGCGCAGTGTACCGATGCGCATTTCTTCCGGTTTCTCTATAGTCCATGTGTTTTTGCTGTCTGCTATACATATCCCTATATACTATAATGTGTAATGTGAATATTTAACTTAACTAATAATTTGCAGTTGAATTGCGTCTAGGAATTGACCTCGATAAAAATATATTTTCTTTTATATTTCTCGCTAATTAAAAAGTAGTTATTAGTGCAAAATCATTTCTCACAAGTTGTGAAAAATTTTGTTATTTGGTATATAAGAACAGTTCGCTTCTAAACTTAAAGTTTTATAAGTGTGCGTTTCTACGTGTAGTTATTATAAGTGCGAAAATGTGTTGGTCTAAAGCGTCTAAGAGTGTAAATAAAATATCGGAACTGTGCAACGAAAAAAATGTGTTCATTCTGAACCAAATAGTGTCTAAAATTAGGGATAATTCTGAAAGAAGTTGAATTTTTTTAATGCTTTTGATAGTCATAGAAAATTTAATAGACAGTTTTCTAAATTTTAGCAAGCAACTCGTCACTGATTGTGACTCAAAGTATGTTATGCATTCAATGATTTTGTGTCCCGTCTCAAAGTAATAATACTAGTCTATTAATGATTGACGGACTTTTTCTTTCCGTGTAATAATAATAAACAATAATAATCAATAATAAATTGTAATAATAAATATTAAATAATAGAATTGTAATAATAAATAATAACAAATTTAAACAATTATATTTATAAATATAATTAACAAAGTAACAAAGTAACAAAGTATAAACAATTAATAACAAAATTATAAAATAACACGAGTAATAGGGAATATACACGTGCCATCTAAAAATGAGTCACCACAAGTGTTCCTATAACAAAGGGTTTCTCAAATGCATGGAAAACCGAAACGATTCCTCAAATACATGGCAAAGCGTAACGATTCTTCAAATACATGGCAAACCGTACAGTTTCTAAAAATACACTGGGTTTGGGTATAAGAAGGACCAGACTATCAAACAATCTTCAGTCTAAAAATTTTATCTATAACAAGTGGTTCTTCACGACACAGTGCTCTAAAAACCCAGTCTTAGTGGTGGTCCTTTACTCTACGTTAATTTCAAAAGTGCATTTTTAAAAGTCAATCTGAAAGTCAAATTTACTGTTATAGTTCCTGTCTCAAGTCACACAATACTACAACCACTTTGTCGACCATTATTTGAATAGTACCATTATACCTCAACGACCAGGATCACCCATTGTTCAAGGTAGAAACACGTGTTCATCTCTTATTTTTCATCAATTTTCTTACCCAGGCGCGAGCTGACAGTGAGTTCAGGCTTTACGAAGCTTAATTGACGCTTGGTCAGTATTGCTTGAAGATTGGTGGGACAGCGAAAGCAAGGCTGCTTGAGTCCGGAATAGTAACATCGATGTAAACCTGACGCTCAGTCTTTGTTGAAGACTGGCGTTCAATCTTCAATCAATGCTGCGAAAGCCGAAAGCAGGACTGAACAAGACTGCTTCCACTGTTCCCAAATTTACACGCTTCTCACGCGTTCGTTCAATATAACTTGAATATATTAATTATTATTATTAATAATAAACAGCATTGTTATTAATATATATGCATTTACATATTTAATGACAATAAGTTATTATTATAATAATTATATTATTTTCATATAAATATTATATTACTAACAATAAATGTCATTTAACATAATAATATTGAAAAATAATTTTAGCATAAAAAGACAATTTGTGATAATTGGTACATTTTTTAACTTCATTTTTAACAGACTTTTAATATTATTTACAAACAAGTTCACAAGTTTTTTTTCACAACACTTATTAATTATACAGATTAAATAGTAATTTTATTATTTTATGTAAACGCTTATAATGAGAAAATCTGCTCGCATGTGGGATCGAACTCACGTCCCCTCGCCCCAGACGCATTGCGGAAGTCCTAGACGCAACCACTTAAACCGCACGGCCACTGAGTCTCGATGAGACCTCGAGCTAATCTAATATATTAATGCCAATGCCGTATATTTTGTTACTTATAAGGGCAAAGTGAAAACTATGATTAAAAATTTTACACATACTAATCCTGAATTATTTTAATTATAAAAAATGAATATTAAATAACTCATAATAAAATTATAATCATTACAAAATTCAACTTTTAAAACATTTTAAAATTAAAAATATTTAATGAATAATTTAATAAACATCGATAAATAATTGATATTTTTTATTATTCAGTAACAAAATTATTAACATTTATTATTAGATATATTAATAATATATTATTTAAATAAATATAATTTGGAATAATAATGAATTATAATGTTAAATATTATAATTATTATTAATTATAATAATATTTATTAATTCAATAATAATTATTAATAATTATAATAATTAATTAAATTAATATTAAAAGTTAACATAATTAATAAAATGATTAAATATGATGCAGTGTCAGGAATATTAATTGCACATTTTAATTATTATTTATTAATTAACTATAATAATTTTGAAAACATTTATAAAAAAAATTTTCCATTTAAGTTTTTTAAATATGAAAGTTACAATTAATAATATATTTATACTAAATAAATATAAATATTTATTTATCAATTGATAACTTAATGTTAATTATTATTATTATTTGAAACAATTATTATAATTGTTATAATATTATTTAATTAAGTGAACACGGTAATAAATAAAGATAAACTGAATATTGTGTAAAGATTGATTCAAGCTTGAATCAAGAATAGATGTTCGAGCTTCACTCATAAAAATTGACCGAGTCTTGAATCGAACATGGGACGAGCATTGGGCCCAATGTTGAACCAATATTGAACTAATATTGAGTGACAGTGATGTAAAGACTGCTTCTACTGTGGCTTACCCACACTGAGCGTTCAAGACTCAATCAAACTTTAATTTATCGTCAGCATTGGTCTTTCGCGCCTGGGATATTTCAAAATATATATATATATATGGGGTCGTTCATAAACTACGTCACACTCCTAGAGGTGGGGGGGGGTGTCAAGCCGTGTGTGACGAAGTGTGGAAAACAATTTTTTTGTATGTAAGAAATGTGACGAAGGGGGGGAGAGGGGGTAAAAATCAGTCCGAAAAAGCGTGACGTACTTTGTGAACGACCCCTTATATATCTGTTCAACTAAAATATATTCTTGTTTTTACCAAACCCCGTCCCTATTTTAATTAATATTAAAATAAAATCTGGAAAACACTAGGGATATAATAATTAGGATCGTAACAGTTGGTAGACAATGATTATTATTATTAGTAAAAGTTTAAACTAGAAATTTAAACTAGCAATTACCTTTGGTTGAAATTTACGCAAAGTTTGAAAATTTTTAGATACATTTGTGGAAGGTCCAAAGTCAATTGTTGCAAAAACACCAGGAATAATTCCACATTGAAGCATAGTTTCTTGAAGTCCATCTGTTGTAAATAAAACAGCATTTGATTCTACATGTTTGAAAAATATCTCTCTCAGTGCATTTTTATATTGAAAATCACAGGCATTGAAGGTTCCGTACTCATTCTCTATCTGTAACAGAACAGAACAAAAATAATTCTTTGCTAATTAGTCAAACACAATAAAAATTTAATTACATACTAAAATTCTAATATCCAATTTTAGAAGAATCATTACTAATAAGTATATTTAACTCATGATTTGCAATAAGAATAAATATACCTGAAAATGAACAGGTAATTATTGCAGAAAGATATATAATTCTTTTTTTTATTATAAGTTATATATGTAGGCAAAATTTTTTCAAGTGTAACAATCTTAAAAGTGAAAATTGTTAAATCAAACAAACACTATATTAGAAACTTTGGTAAGTCGATTAAAAATTTTAGTCATTTTTGAACAGTATATATTTCTCAGAAAGCCGTTTAATGGTACAAAGAACATCTAAATAAATACTAACCTGTACCATTATAATAGGACCTCCATTACCTCTGAGAAGTGATTTTATTTTTATCAATACAGTTTCCAAATATCTTTGTACATATTTCATGTACCCTGTAAAATATGTAAATTACAATAATATATATAAATTTTAAGAATTCAATGATAAAAGTTGAAATATATGCTGTAGAGAAAGGGGGTAAAGAAATTCAAAATTATTTTTTGATATTACACGTATTATACACGCACGGAAATCTAAATGCAATTCCGTCCGTTATACGAAAATTTTGTTATGAAAATTCCGCTAGGAATCCGGTAATAATTTCACACGTAATAATTGCCGTAAATTGTTTTCAATAATTTCCAACCACTTTTTCGCAAACGAATTTTGTACAAACTTTGTGCAAATTCCACACACGTAACAATTGCTGAAAATTTCTTAAAAATAATTTCCGACATATACTTTTCTTTTAGAATTTTGCTTGCGTATATGTCACTAATTCTTGCGAGGCCAAATTTTTTCTTGTATGTGTTTTGACGGACTTGACTAATATTTTGCAAGTGTACTACAGTCACAAATACATCTACATTCAGACACAAGAATCTTTAAAAATATCTAAAAAAAAATTTTTTTGATCAACTTTTAACTTTTTGAAAAAAAAGAGTTTTGTACTTTTTGAAATGACTTTTTTTCTTTATTGATATTTTAATTGATTTTTATCGAAATTATATATTTCTTTATATAAAATTAAAAAGTAGGGTGATGTGGGGTGATGTGCAACGTTTTTTTTCGTTGGACGAAAAACATGTCAAATAATTAAATTTTTAAATATTTCAAAATTGAATGACTTAGAGGCATTATAATAGAATATTCCTGCATTATTAGATTTTCAGAATTTTAAATTTTTCTTACAAATTTTTCGCTTTTACAAAAACATCAGTTTTTGCATTTTCCAAAAAAGTTGGGGTGATGTGCAACACCAGTAAAATTTAGGTATGTAATGCATAAATATCGATGAAAATCTCTTTAATTATTCATTTTATGCTTTTTCAATGCAAACTAATCGAAATCTGCCAAAAAAAAATTTACTAAGGTATAGTTGACCTCTAAAAAGTTTAGATTTTACTAAAGAAAAATAAATTTTTTTTGTTTAATTTTTTATTTATTCATGATTGAATAAGGAATATAATTAAAGGAAAATAACTAAGCATTTTTTATTCATCATGTGAATCGCAGTTATGTCACGTAAAAAGTAGTTACGTCCACCCCAAAAAAAGTGTTGCACATCACCCCAAATATGATATTTTGCGAAAAATGATTTGTACGCAATACAATGCAATGGAAACACAAAATATAAACAGATATTTAAAAACACTTAAAGAACCAACAATAAACACATTCTTATCTATAAAATAAATTAAAACTCGCTTCACGAAACGACTAGAATTGTAACGCGTAGAGTGTAACTCGTGAGTTTTATATAAAAAACAAGCTACAGAGGACACAAACAAATGGCAATACTTGGCTCTGTTCAATATCGAACTGTAGATCAGAAATCGGCGGTGTTGCACATCCCCCCATGTTTCACATCACCCCACATCACCCTATACAATTTATCATCAATATTTATAAAATTAATAGCCATTTTTATTTTTAAGGGAGCGTTCATAAACTACGTAGCATGCTAAGGGGGAGGGGGGGGGGGTTCGGCAAAAGTCTACGCTAGTCTACGTGGGGGGACGGGGTAGATCGACTCTTACTACGTAGTTAATACATAGAAGCTAAAATTAATTTTACAAACTCACTACCCGTCGCCATTGTTAAATGTTGCTATATGCCAAGAATAAAATATTTTATTCAGAATATTTGACATTGTTTTTAATTGTTTTTAATGCGAATATAGTTAAATATGCAGTTTAAAAAAAAACTACGTAACACACGGGGAGGAGGGGGGGTTCAGCAAAAGTCTACGTTAGTCTGCGCAGGGGGAGGGGGGTTTAAAAAATGACAAAAATAGGTCTACGTATAGTTTATGAACGCTCCCTAACAAAAAATTCAAATTTTGTATTTTTTGTCCATATTTTTTGGGAAAACCCCATTTAGGGCTGTCTAATGCAAAAAAGATTGAAATCTGTATTATTTCTTAAATACTTACATCTGTCATTTGTTCTTAATTTTATTTCCGACGTTACGTTTAAAAGCCAAGTAGGTAATCCACCCTACAAAAGGAATATTTTAGTAAGTAACCACACTGAAAAAACGTAAATCTGAATTTAAGAATACCATATCTTGGCTCCTATATAAGAATATTGTATAGGTACTTATTCTTAAAATGAGAATATATATATATATATATATATATTTATATATATATATATATTTATATATATATATTTATATATATATATTTAATATCAGAAATATATTTCAAGTTTATATTCCTCTTGAAATTATTTTTCTAATATGAACTATATATATTCTTATCTTATTTTAAGAATAGTATATACTTGATTAAGTATACAATATTCTTAAATAGGAGCCAAGATATATGGTATTCTTAAATTCAGATTTACGTTTTTTCGGTGCAAGACTGACAAAACTTGCTTCTAGCTAGACGTCCTGATGCCTGGATAGTCCAGACTAGAATCAGCATTTACACTCGATTCTCGTTATAACGACGATCTCGGGACTTCAAAATCTCGATATTACGACGAAAGGAGAGGATCCTACTTCACGTTCTATTCAAACGTCAAATACGTGCTAAATTTTTCGTAAAGTATGTTTATTTATATTAAAAGTTTTTGAATTATGGAATCAGTTTAAAGAAAAAGTAAGTATTTTTAATAATAATCGGATCACTAGATTCTTTAGGTTAAATAAAGTTAAGAGTCGATTAAATTTGTCGTTTTTTTTAGTTAACCAAAATTTTGGTTAAATTAAATTCTTAAATTCGTTCGTGTTTTTTTTTGTCGTTGTATCGAGAGTTTTAATGTTCGTTATAACGAGAGAACGTTGTAACGAGATTCGTTATAACAAGAATCGAGTGTAGTTGAGAATTGTAGTAGTTTATTGAAAATAAAAATAAAAATATTTTAATTACTGTAGTTTTCGGGTTAAAAGTTGTATTAAAGTCATAAAAAAAGTAGGGGTCGTGTAGCTTACTGACAATTATTATTAATTCCTTACTAAATCTCTTTCAGCACAGATATATGGACCTGGTCTCAATATAACTAGTAAATCTTCTTCTTCTGCAATTTGAATAAATTGAGTAATATTTGCATCATCTTTCCAAATCCATTTACCTGGTTCCGGTTCATGAGTACTCCATTCTATGTATCTAAGTGTTTTAAACAAAATTTAAATAAAATATGTATCAAAATTAAAAAAAAAATTAAATTTATTTCAGTACAGCTAGAAAATATATATGTAAAAGTCTGAGAAACGAAATTATTTAGTTTCAAATAAAAAATTAAAGCAAAGAACAAAATATTTAATGAAATAATATTATTAAAAACTTTATAATTACAAACTAGAATGAAAATGCTTCAATATAATTACTAAAGTGGAAAAATGAATCCGATTATCATGTTCGCATTAAAACATTAAATATTTCATTTTTTAGTAATTTTTTGGCAGAAACTAAATAGTCAAGTTTTTCGAAATTTATAGTTTCGAGTCGACACGAAATAACCAATCTGCATGTAAATTTTTAAATTAATTTCGTTTAAACATCCTTGGATAAGCATTCTTAAGGGGGTCCCCCGCACAGTCGATTGGATTTTTACATTGAGCTTTAATGGGAAAATTACATTGACTGTGCGGGACCCCCCCAAACATGTATAATTATCGCGCGCTGACGAGAAAAGTATCGCGAAAGAAGAAAAATAACAATACACAAATTGCATATAATAACACATTATTTTAAAAATCACTGAAAAAACGTTAATCTAAATTTAAAATACATCTTTTTGGCTCCTGTAGAATTGAGATTCTTGTAATCACTATAGATGTCAACAATGGTATAAAAGTATGACTCATGCGTTAGAATTTTAGTAATTGAGGTAAGACTTTAGTTCGACTAGAGTCGTCAAGCTGACTGCTTTTGCTGAGTGCATTAGACGATTATTTTCACAATTGTTAATTAGTCGCGTAACAATCATTTTGTTAATAAACTTTATATTATACTATTTGACATCTATATGAATAAATGAACTTATTTAATAAATAATACAATTATTTATTCCTACACTCCTATTCAAGTATAATATTGTATACTTGAATCAAGTAGATTAACGTTTTTTCTGTAAAGAAAAGGAACCAATAAAAGATGACGTAAAGTAACAACAACTATTATCTACCCAATAAAAAAGCAAATTGGCTGTGAGATAATGGAACAGAATTTATTGGCTAGAATTAACATATTTAATAAAAAAAAAACAAATTGTTTGAAGTGTAAAAAATGCCGATAACAAACAGGAAATGTGAAATTTTGTTAGAGTTTAAAAAAATTAAATTTGACAGTCAGACTGTACTATCTAAACTCAACGCCAATTCTATTTGCTTATTACAGCCAATTCTGCCCTTTTTACTATGGGTAAACAATAGTGAGCAAAATGTCGATAGATTTGCTAGAAATACATTTTTGTAAACGAATTGCATCTCAAAGCGGGTGTAAATATCCATATCTCTTGAACGGATTCATTAAAATATTATCTTAAGAGTGCTGATGGAAATAAAAATTTCTGGGTCAGATAAGATTTACAGATAGTTATCGCCAAACGAAAAGTGCGCACTGACGGGTTTAAATTGACATAAAATTCGTTGACAATAATTTTCAAACAAGTTTTTCTCTATGCACACGACACTTTTTCATAAAATCTTGCAACGATATATCGACACGTATGTCTTTCAATTATTGATATATAAATTCAAAACATTTTTTTTAATTGCCCCATCACGGCCTTTACCGCACTTGAATAACGCAGCAGCCCTGTCGCATCCTTTTGATGGACATTCAATAAAAAAAAGTATACACAAGGCTCACAGGCTGTACTGTAATAAATAATATTTAAAAATACTTGCGTTGAGACAGCATTTAAACCGGCAGCTCTCATTTTCTTAAAAATTGCACGCCAATATTGATTTGGTGTCCTAAAATAATGAAAACTTCCAGAAACATATCGAAATGGCTTCCCGTCAAGAAGAAATTGATTAGCTTCATAGTCCACCGTAAAGCTATTTTCGAGGAATTTCTGTACATTTTCAAAAAAAAACCATAAGAAAAAATTTCTTTTTGTTTATACATATACCCTGCACAACATTTGATCTCATTGCCCAGCGCAATATGTTCTCGCACAGCGCGCAAAACAGTTTTTTTTTGAAAATTATTTTGCAGATATTTTTCTAGTTTAAATATTAATTTTGACATTTCGTAAAAATAGTTTAGACAATTATTCGGTCAAATGTCATTTGGGGAATATTCATACACTTTGATATAAAAATTTATACGTTTGTAAAATAATAAATCTTTAATTTTTTACATTATATAATACATCCCGAGTCGAAATTTAAGCCCTACTTTCACCCTGAATTTTCAGGGTCTATTGAGTGTTGGCAGTAGTAAAGTAGGGTCTAATTCTAATACAGTTAGACCCTACTTTGACTCCCAAAACAGGCGGAAATTTGACAATCTTCCATTTGGAGAAGCAAAGGAGGGTCTACTTCTAAGAAACCTATACCGTACTTTTAAACCTCGTAGACCCTACTTTCATACTCTTAGACCCTACATTCTAAAAGAAAATTTTAAATTATTTTTTAATGCATTACTTGAAACACTGCAAATGCAAAAAGTACTCTGAGCAAATCTTTAAATTTTTCTTTTTCTAATTGTAGGGTCTAGGAGTATAAAAGTAGGGTCTACGAGGTATAAAAGTACGGTATAGGTTTCTTAGAAGTAGACCCTCCTTTTCTTCTCCAAATGGAAGATTGGCAAATTTCAGCCTGTTTTGGGAGTCAAAGGAGGGTCTATTTTTTAAAAATTGTATTGAAATCAGACCCTACTTTACGACTGCTAAACCTGAATAAACCCTACATTTTCAGAGGCTAAGTAGGGTCTGAATTTCGACTCGGGATATATATATATATATATTAGAAAAAATTATTAAACTTTGAATATAGTTTTGGATAAAGTATTTATTTGTATTTTAGAAATTATTTTTCAGTTTTAAAATTATTAAATTGTTTTTCTTTTGACTTACATGGCCTGAATTTTGTAAATAAACGTTTGTAATTGCTTGAAAGTGCTAAAAAAATTAAAATAAACTCTAAAGAGGATGGTCATGACCTGAAAATCACCCCCCTGGATCCTCCACTGTGTACATTTAACAAATAAATTTATAAATATCAGAGTTTTTATTACCAAATTACTAGAGTCCGTTGATACTAATGTTGTTAATGTAGTGATTACTGCTAATAATGAAAAAGACACAAACAACATGATTCAATCAATTTTTCACTAAAAATATTAAAAAAGGGTACACTAAAGTAAATCTTATTTCATCAACAGTACAGATGATGGTCACTTGTTTGTACATTTAATTAAACTTTGATAAAACCAATTTATCAAGATAAAATTCTGTCGATTAAATACAAAGATGACAAATAAATCACGATTACGATAACGTTGCGCAAAGAAAATTAAATTCACTGGTCGACAAAATTAAGGTTTTTTCTTGCTACAAGAATAAATGAAAGTGATTCTTACAGGATTTGCGACGTAGATTACGAACCTGTAAGTGAAATTGTCCCATCAAGTCTCAATTTTGAGAAAAACGGGGTCAAAGTGCCAAAAAATGGCTTTTATGGCACTTTTTGAAGTACAATAAAAAAAGAACGCGACGTGATAAAAAGCTCAAATATGACTTACATGAGAGCTTAAACCCTCAACTTTAACATCCAAAAGCAAAAAACCATGTAGAAATAATTCAAAATTGTGGGGAACAACTTTTCGCTAAAATATCGCCAAAATAATATCTGTTTTACGCGCATGCGGTAAAAAGTTGTTCCCAACAATTTTGAGTTATTTTTACATGGTTTTTTGCTATTGGATGTTAAAGTTGAGGGTTCGAGCTCTCATTTAAGCCATATTTGAGCTTTTTATCACGTCGCGTTCTTTTTCTATTGTACTTCAAAAAGTGCCATAAAAGCTATTTTTTGGCACTTTGACCCCGTTTTTCTCAAAATTGAGACGTGATGGGACAATAAAATTTCACTTACAGATTCGTAATCTATGTCGAAGATCCTGTAAGAATCACTTTCGTTTATTCTTGTACCAAAATTTTGTCGAACAGTGATAAAATCAATGAATGTTTGAAAGAAATTCGGGAACTGTATTAGAAAAAGCTATAAATAGTCCAATAGTCTCTTTTTCATGTAAAGTTCATGGCACTGGCCGCAACTGTTTCTGAAATTTTCGGGAACTCGTCAAGGAATCTTGGTGCGCACCAGTCTCAACAAGTCTCACAGTCAGTAAGACTTGCGTGCCTTATATATTTATTTTATGCTGAGGTATTTAACTCGCCTGTTTAGCTCAGCTGGATAAGACGCCGGACTTTTATTCTCGGGTACGCGAGTTCTGTTCCAGCCGCCGTCGATTTTTCTCTCATATGGTTTTTTCTATTTCAGAAACTTCCAAAAAAAATAAAAATTGTATGTGACCTTCAAGGATCAATGTGTGAGTGTGTGTGTGCGCACGTGTCAAGGAGGGAAAGTGGGAGGGGGGAAGCAGAATCCATTTTTTCTTGCATTCGCCTAACTTTTCGATTTTCTTGAACAGTTCCCGACTTTTTCAAGAACAGTTTGCCGAGAAGTGGTGAAATAGTTATAATTTGTAGAGAAATAGTAAATGACATATTTAAACGAGGCAACCTTTATAGTTATCTGTGTACTACCCGCCGTATCCAAGAGTTTAGAACAAAGTTCCCGATTAATCCTCGAACTTTTTTTTTTCCGTGTAGAACAACTTTTCTGCGTACAACAGTTAAGGTAGGTTATGAGGGTGTACTGTAAACTTTTCTTTACAAAATTTAAATGTAAAATACTTTGAAAGATATTTAATTTTAAATAACATTTTAGTTGTAACCTATTGCGCAGTACAATTATTAGCATTGTTCTCTAAGAAAACAGAAGTAACAAATTTTGCATGGTTGATAAATTCCATACTGTGCGATTTTGAGGCATACTCATATTCTAAAACAATAAGCTCATTTTTACCAAGCTTTAAAATGACACCTGGTATGTACAAAGTTATTTGTGGACCAATTAATGGCCAATATCTGCCAATGTTGTATCCATTGATATAAGCAACACCTTTTCCCCATCCACTTGTATCCAGAAATGTGTCTACCGGATTTTCTTTTATAAGAAATGTTGATCTATAAAAAGTAGGTCCACGACGTAGGCATTCAGATACTGGGATTGTAGAATTTACATTGAAAAGTTGTTTTACATTTTCTAATGTGAAGCCGGTCACATTCCACGTTAATGATGTTTCTTCACTAAGGCTTACATTGAACAATCCCTGAAACAAAATATTTTCATACTTGAATATTTTATGGAAACTGGAGGCGCATGATTATTCCACAAATCTCATTTTGACCAAACTGTCATTTTACCGAATTGCATTTATCCAAACTGTTAATTTATCGAAATGTCATATTTGCGAATAGCCATTTTTGCAGATTGAAACTTTTGCGAAATTTCATTTTTACAAATTGTTATTTTTACGAATCGTTATTGTTCCTAAATGCGTCATTTTTTCAAATTGTCATTTTTACGAAATGTCACTTTTGTGTATCGCTATTTTAACGAATTGTCACTTTTGCGGATAGTCATTTTTGCGAATTGTCATTTATGCGAACTGACATTTTTTCGAATTGTTATTTTTTTCAAATTGTCATTTTTGCGAATCGACATTTTTACGAATTGTCACTTTTGCGAAAAGTAATTTTTGTGAAAATTGCTATAGTAAATCTATATATGCATACAAGTTTACTATAGCATTTTTCACAAAAATGACAATTCGCAAAAGTGACATTTCGTTAAAATAACAGTTTGGATAAATGCAATTCGGTAAAATGACATTTGGGGAATAATCATGCGCCTTGAAAATCTGAATTCGTGTTTTTAGATTTACTACTACTTTTATTAATTTACACTAAAAAAAATTTATTTGATTCAAATAACCGATTAGGTAATTGACTATTATCAATTAAATATTTAATTTAATCAAATAATATTTATTGGAGTCAATTAAATGTTGATTGGTAGTGGATCCCCTCCTTCCTACTAATTGTTCAAGTAGTGAGGTGAGAATCTCTACTGTTTGGAAATGGTGGATTTGTAGGTTTTGAAATTGTTTTGTGGATGCCAATAAAGTTGAAGAAATTTATAAAATAATGAGAATATATTATCATCTCTAAACCCCAATACAATTATCTAAATTTCCCTTATTTATCACAAAGGGATATTTAGTTACAAAGTCGATCGTAACAGCTTCAAATACAAAAATTATTGGTATAATACCACTTAATTTATACTCCAATAAATATTATTTGATTCAAGTAAATATTTAATTGATAATAGTCAATTCATCGGTAATTTGAATCAAATAAATTTTTTTTTCAGTGTAGACAATTTTAGACGCGTCAAAGAGGTCTAAACAAGACCCACTTGTACTCGAACTTGTACTCGAACTTTTCGAGTACTCGATTTGATTCGAGCTCTTGAGTACCGTAAACTAAGGGCTATTAGGAACAGATTTCAACTTTAAAGTCTTGCAACTTTTTTGTGTATTAAAATATTGCCTTGATTTTTTGTTTTTTTCTTGATCTTGGCGAGCACATTGAAGGGTTAAATAATTACCTCTATCAACTGGAATTTTAAACAAAAAAAAAGAAAAAGACGCATTATTTCGAAATTATAAAATGGGGCTATTAGGAACAAGGCGGTAAAAACCATTAGAAAACGTATTTTAAATTAAAGAAGTTATTTTTTATTGCTCGAAAGCAAACACGGAATATAAAACAAATGTAAAAACAAAACTAAAAGAGCAAATGTGAGTAGTATAGCTAGGCCGATTCTGGATAAAATCGGTAATGTAGATTCCTACTTACCGACCGCGAGGGTAAGTTACCGACCGTTGGTGGGGTATATGTAGGTAAGTTACCGACCGTTGGTGGGGTATAAGTTTCTGTCGTTAGATGGCGTTGCTTAGAAGGGTCTAATTTGCATTTATTTAAATTAGTTAACCCTTTTAATTTGCATATATTCAAATTAGTTAACCCTTTTAATTTGCATATATTTAAATATGTGGCAAAGTTACTGAGCGTTGGTAGGGTACTTGATTTGCATATATTTAAATTAGTTAACCCTTTTAATTTGCATATATTTAAATATATGGAAAAGTTACAGAGTGTTGGTGGGGTACCTGATTTGCATATATTTAAATTAGTTAACCCTTTTAATTTGCATACGTTTTCTATTGTTTATTATTTAACTTTCATTGTTAACCCTTTTAGTTTATGCAAATTCCACCCACTATCCACCCTTTTGGACGTAGAATATGTAAATACCACCCCCTCCCACCACCCACTCACCTATGTATTAGTTAACCATCCCCCACCCACCTACTTTTTTCCTTTATATATATATTTCCAATATTACCACCCACCACCACCACCCACTTAGTATAAACCAGAAATTTCAAAAATCGTATAGAGAAGCGTGAGGGATTAAGCGTTCGCGAGATACCGCGCAGGCGTTGTGGGTAGTGGGAGTGGGTGGTGGTGGGTGGTGGTAAGGCCCAGTGCGCAGCAAAAGTGCGCGTACGGTTACCGCGTTGAGTGAGTGAAAGTTTCATGCGTCAGACCTGTCTACCTGACTCTTGCAGCATGCTTCACTGGTACTACAGCACCATGGGGATAAATGTATTGTCTAAAAATATGTAAGCAAGTTTCAACTTGTCTTTTTCTAAGATAACAATAGTATTTTTTGAATATCTTTAAACAAGTTTCAACCTGCATCTTGAATAGAATAAAGACATTGTCTAAAAAACCTTCAGACAGGTTTTAACTTGCCTGTTGATAATAACAAAGACATTCCTTAAGAAACCTTTTAGTGACGTCATTTTCATGCGAGTTTGAACACGTCTTCTAAATGACTCTTCTTTTGAGGTAGTTGCGTGCGCAGTCATTAAAGTGGGGGTAAAAGAGTGGGAGTTGAAGAAGAGTGGGGTTTACGGGATATAAGGTAGGTTGGAATCAACGATTCGACACTTCTATTAAAATTTCCAGCAGCAGCAGCATCAGCAGTATCAGCAACATAAGCAGTACTAGCAGTTTTAACAACTACAGCATCATCTACTCATTTGGTACGTAAATCTCACTTCCTTGATTGAAACATTTTGTATTCCAAATTAGTTTTTTTAAATTTAATATTAAAAATCCATCTTTTTCTTTTCTTACAGATATTAAAACAATGGACTTCCAAAAAGTCAACGCCACTGGTCGCATGGAGAGATTTCTACCAACGAAGCCGC